CCAACTGTATCTCACGTCAATGCAACAACACCGCAGGAACAAACACACGAAACGGAAGCATCGAGCTGCTCGTGCTGAGTTGCTGCGTTCTTCGCTGGGTTCTTCACTGTGTCCTCTGTTATGCTACTGCCTCTGGTTTCTCTCCTCGTCTTGGTGTCCCTCCTGTTGCTGCTGCTGCTGCTGCTGGTGCGCTCCTTGTGCGAATCTGCTGTGGTTTGTCTGTTTGAGGTCTCCATCTCCATAGACGGAGCCGGAGAGGCTCTCTGTGCTGCTAGTCTTGCTGAAGTGCCTCGCGTCCTGCTGCTCCTGGGACGGATGCAGCCCTGTATCTGAGGCAGCAGCAGAAGCAGCAGCAGCAGCAGCAGACTGCCTCCGTTTCTCTGCCTTCAGGTCCACTATAAATGCCGTCATGTTGTCGCAACCATACTCAAAGAGAGCTGGGTTGGGGGATATCAACGAATCAAACAACTCCTTCAGAATTTGACACAAGTCCGGAGTGTGCTGCACGCAAAACCCCAAACCCTAAACCCTAAACCCTAAACCCTTGGCCCTAAAACCCCAAACCCTAAATAGGTACAGCAAACGCTGCGCTGCTGGATGATGTCCACTAGCAATGCAACGGCACCTGCAGCGGTTGCAGCAGAAGCAGCAGCAGCTGTGTCAGAAGAAGCAGCAACAGAAGCAGCAGCAGTTGCTGCAGCAGCAGCAGAAACTTCTCTAATGCCCTTCTTCTCACCTCAATTCGCCGTCTCACGAATTCCACCACCTCAGCAGACGACAACAATTCCCAAATACCATCACAACCGATTACCTGCAGCAGCAGCAGCAGCAGCAGCAGCAGCAGCAGTTGTACAGTAATACGTATTACACCAACGGCACGCGCCACGGGTATACAGCCCCCACAGGAGACAGTGGATAGCCCCCCTAAACCCTAAACCCTAAGCGACAAGGCCTAAACCCTAAACCCTCGATGCTAATAGCGCACAAGAAACTCATCCTTCTCAGGGTCTCTGTTGACTGTCACGATGTCTGGACAGCCGGAGAGAATTTGTTTCTCTGGAGGCAGAGTGTCGTCTGCCTTATACACCAGGTCACCCAGTGCCCGCGACAAATTCAAATTCCCATTCACACGCCCCATCTCCAGGAACCCCCCAGCCGCGTATATCCGGATCTGAAAAAAAAAAAAAAAAAAAAAANAAAAAAAAAAAAAAAAAAAAAAAGATAAATTGTATGAAACAAAATAAAATAAACGTTAAACAAACAAACATAACAAACACTCAAACAAAACATACAAGCAGAAACACCAAACCCGGAGACGCTGGTTCATACACAAGCCTAGCGCATGCCAAGTTTGCTGTTGATACTGGACCCAATGCTGCTGCAGTTGATGCTTATGCCACTGCTGCAGCTGCATTTGCTTTTGCTGCTGCTGACGTGTCCTGTCCTTGTCTTGGCAGCCGCAGAAGCAAATGTAGCAGCAGCAGGGGCAGAAGCAGCAACTGCAGCAGCAGCAGGCGCGGGATCAGCAAGAAAGACAGCAACAAGGGCCCACAGCGTCACCTATCAGCTAGCTAGACAGCTAGCCATCTAGCCACAAAGTCTGCTTACCCGCTCCTCCGCTAGCTGCGGCTTGTGGTCCTGCGACAGCTCGACGATCTCTCGCCCCCGGCAAAGCACACAGCGAGAGTCCCCCACATTCGCCACAATAAGCCGCGTAGGCTGCGACCAATACACACAAAACCCTATAGCTTTTTCTTAAGTTCTACAGGCACATACACGCTGCAGCAGCAGCCAGCAACGAAGTAACATCTGCCGGCTGCTCCTAATCAGTGCAGTGCAACTGCCGCTNGCTGCAGCAGCAGCCAGCAACGAAGTAACATCTGCCGGCTGCTCCTAATCAGTGCAGTGCAACTGCCGCTGCAGCAGCAAACAAGTAGCAACGGCCGACACTGCAGCAACGACAGATGACAGCTTAACAAACAAAACAACAACAACTGCAGCAGCAGCAACACAGCAGCAGGAGCAGCAGCAGCAACAGGAACAGGAGGAGGATCGTGTGCAAGTTGCTTACTGTAACACACACTGTAAGAGCTGTACTGCCAGCAGTGCTGGCGAGGGACCTGCTGGTGCTGCTGCTGCCGTTGTTGCGGCCGAAGAACCTGCCGAGGCCCACAGAGCGGGTGACGACGTCAACAAGTCCTGAGAAGCTCAGCTTCCTGCCTTTCTTGGTAGCCACTGTCTCCTCTGGCTGCCCCACCACTGCTGCTGCTGCTGCTGCTGTTGTGGCTGCTGTTGCTGATGCAGCAGCCACCTCCTCATCAGAAGCAGGAGCGGGGGGGTCCGATGCGGCTACTGCTGCTGCTGCTGCTGGTCCTGCTGCAGCTGCTGCTCGGCTATCGAGATCACGGGAGAAAGACAAGCTGCTGTGGTGTGTTGGTGAGGCGTTGGGGCTATTTGCTGCGTAGGCAGCAAGGATAGCAGCGGCTCCGCTGCGCTCTGTGCTCCTTTCTGTTGCTGCCGCATTTGCTGCTGCTGCTGTTGCTGCTGCTGTGGCCCGGATGTTGAATGTATCCAGCGAGTCTTCTGCTTGGCTCCGCAGCTGTCTGCGTTGCATCTCTTCTTCGCTGCCCCGCGAAGCAAAAGCCCCCGTGTGTTGCCTGCTGGGCGTCTCCCCCACACTGCTGCTGCTCATGCCTGCTCGGTTTCCTTGCCCTGCTGCAGCCTGCTGCTGCTGCTGCTGTTGCTGTTGGGACTTTACACCGAAGTGCTGCCCCAGGTTCGAGAGAGTGGATCTGAGTCCTTTGTGCTGTGTGGGTGCTGCAGTTGCGTTTGCGACATTGCCGTTGTGTTCATGCTGCTGCTGCTGTTGCAGCTGTTCTTGCTGGAGCTGCTGCTTGTGCTGCAGCAGCTGGAGAGGCGAATGAGACGTGAGGTACATCAGGTCGTCTTGGCTGCTCTCCTCCCGCAGCAAATCATCTATACGTAAGTAAGCGCTTCGCAGCGCGGTGCTGAGGTCCCCCCGGTGGAAAGAAGACAAAGACTCCAGCAGCGGCCTCATGTGTGCAGCAGCAAACCTGCGCAGCAGCAGCAGCAGCAGCAGCAGCAACAACAACAAACACGCCATTGACGATGCAACCGCAGTGCAGCAACACGCTCAGCTGTAAGCAGCAACTGCAGCAGNAACAAACACGCCATTGACGATGCAACCGCAGTGCAGCAACACGCTCAGCTGTAAGCAGCAACTGCAGCAGTTGCAGCACCAGCAGCAGCTTATGAAAAGCAGCAGCAGCAGAAGACAGAGCGCAGTACTGGATATCAGCAGCATCAGCAGCAGCAGCAGCAACGGCGGTTGCTGTAGCAGCCAGCAGCAAGGCAAACGCGGCGCGTTGCAGGTTATGTTTACCTAGATACGTGGGCACCCCCATGGCCATCGAAGACTGCAAATATGCACAAGTCCGCATGCTGCACTGTCTGGCCAGAGGAAGCGACGGGCCCCGCGGCAAAGGGGCCCCCAGGGGCCTCCGTCCCGGAAGGGGCCCCCCGAACCTGGGAAGCGGGGGAAAAGCCTGCAGCAGCAGCTGCCGTCGGAGCAGCAGCAGCAGCACCGGCAATGCCAGCAGCAGCAGCAGCACCTGCCGTCTCGGCTGCATCAGTTTCGCTGGCCGTAGACGTGCCCCGACGTCTCAGCGTGAACTGGCGTCGCACAGCCCTCCCAACTCTATTTGTCTTTTTGCTGCTGGGTGTTGCTGCAGCGTCACCTTCTGCGGGCTCCGCTGCCTCCATGTCGGCTCCATCGCCCCCATCTTCTGCTGCTCCTCCTGCTGCTGGGGCAGCAGCAGCTGAGGAAGACAGACCCACCACGTCATCCTTTTGCATTTCCACTTCCGCCGGCAGGAAGNGGCAGCAGCAGCTGAGGAAGACAGACCCACCACGTCATCCTTTTGCATTTCCACTTCCGCCGGCAGGAAGACATAACACCCGTCTGTGCCGCGCTGAGGTCCTAAACCCGATCCCGATCCCAGCAGCAGCTGAGAAAGCAGCTGCTGATGCATCCCTACTGCAGACAATCGGGGCCCATGAGGGCTTAGATCGTCCTTCTGCTGCCGGTGCTGCTGCTGAACCACCGCTGCGTCCGAAGGGGGCCCCCCCTCTCGCGGGGAGCTGTAAGAAGGGGCCCCCGATGCATTTGCTGTTGAAGCGTTTCCTACTCGCTTGGCATACAAGACCAAGTGGGCGTCCTCCATAGAGACGCGCCAGCCCTGCATGCTGCATACACCCCAGCGGAGGCCCATAGACTCGCAGGCCCCGGAGGCCACCTCCTTCCCCGAGAGGGGGCTGGAGAGATAAGTGCCCATTGCATAGGCCCAGCCAGGAATGACGAGAGAACTGCCCTGTACAGACACCGCACGCCTGCGGCGGCAGCACAGCAGAAGAGACTTCAACGCACCGGCCAACGCGGGCCTCAAAGATAGTTGCACAGACGCGCTGGCCAGCGTGCAGCCAGCATAGTAGATAAAAACGCTGTGGGTCTCCTTGCTGCTGCTGTTGCTGTTGCTGCTGCTGCTACGCAGCCACCGCTGCANTGAGAGACACCCAGGGACTCAGTGCCCCTTAAGCTGCGGCTTATAAGACGCAGAGATCCTTAGACGGGAGCCGGGGCCCCTTCTAAAGCAGGGAGGAAGGGAATGGAGGGCAGCGGTGACTTTGAAGACAGAAGGGGCCCCTCCTGAGTTACTGGGCCCCACAGCAGCTGCAGACGAGTCAGGCTGGCGTTATTGAGACAGGAGGATGAGACAGAAGTGGCATGCAGCACGAGAAACAGGCTGCGGGAAGGAAGCACGAGTTGCCTGGGCGTGGGCCCCCGGTTTCCCCGCTACGCAATATGGCACTGCTGCAGGGGTGCTGCAGGGAAGGACAGACCAGTGGTCTGTTGGCCTTCTTGGCGAGAAATAACCTGACGATAAACCCCAACGCTTTCAAACACAGACAGTTTGCTGCTACAGCCGAAGCTGCTACTGGCGCTGCAGCTTCTACTGTGCCTGTGGTTTAGGGAGCCCCGACACGCACTTCATCTCTAGCTGCAGCTTCACTGGAAGTTTCGTTTATTTTGGCTTTTAAAGGAGAAGCGAACAAATTGAACTGTCAAAGTTGGGACGAAAAATACGCTTCAGCCGCAAACACCCCGCAGTTTCGGCTGCCACCTACCCGGCCCCCCTCATGCGCTCGCTGGGCAGCAGCGGAGCTTGTGGCTTTGCTGCTTTTACACTCCAACGCCCCAGTCTTAAGGGTGTGCAATTCATNGCAGCAGCGGAGCTTGTGGCTTTGCTGCTTTTACACTCCAACGCCCCAGTCTTAAGGGTGTGCAATTCATGCTTTGTGACTGACGCTTCAAAGGCCCCTCCTCTGGGGAGGCAGTCCCGGAGGAGGCCGGAGGCACGAGAAACGACGCTGCTAGTCTTCAAGGCCAATTGAGCCTGCGGTTAGCGCGGGGGGCCATGAAGTAGTTGTTTCAGTAGGGGCAAAAGGGAGTTTGCAGCCACATTAAAAGAGGGAACCCTCGCTCTTGCCCTTTTGTCAGGGATCCCCCAGGCAGCCTGCCGGGGAGGCGGAGTCCCGTCGCTGTTCTTTATTGTAGCACTGTCTGCCTGCAGTTAGCGCAGGAGCCTTCACTTGGCCTTGGCAAGTTGAGTGTACGCAAATACAAACGCTCTGTAAGTGTATTCAGAGGTAAAGCATGCAGTAAAGAAAGCTTCAGCAAAGCTCCCTTGTGTGCGCTCGTGAAGCTGGCGTGTAATACCATCCGAAGCGAGATGCGCTGCAACCCCATTTCAGGCTGCCTCCTCAGCGCAACACCCAGGCCCTGATATCAACGCTCAGGAGGCCTGAAAACAGGGGAAGGGGGTCAACTGCTCTTGCGAAACTCTTGCATTAAGTTTTTACCTATATTGCAGCTCGCTCCTGCCCTCCTTTAAGTAAGGCCAGGGGCAAAGCGTTATATTTAGGTGATGGAGGGGAGGCTCTGTGGTCGCAGGGAGGATAAGTTCTGCCTGTCCATCTGTTAGGCCCAGGGAAGCATGCGGAGCCTCGAGCGAAGCCAAAACCTGGCCACAACTCAATGCTGCACCTGGTTCGTCCCCAATCTTAGCAGCAGACCGCCGTGAACACCAGAAAAGTTGAAACATGCAGGAAGTCTTCAAAACCATCGAACATCCTTTACAATTTCCAATTTGCCTGGGCAAGTTGGTACAATCTCCTAGAGATGCTGTGAAGAAGAAGCAGCCCGTCATGGGTTGCAACGCAAGCTGCTGCAACTCCTGGTAAAAGGCAAGCCCAGATGCAAGAACAACCACGTCCCCTTTTCTGGATACATTAATACTGTAGAACATTGTTGAACATCTCCTTACGAGTCAGTAATCAGCGTGCACGCACGTAGAATTACATGTACCGACTTTAGGTGGGCTATGCTACATCTAGCCCAGACGCTCTTGGTAGCCCAGCAACGAATGGATGGAGCAATTTTGACTGTCTGCCTATGGGTCTTTAGCGCTTGCACAGCTATCAAGGCTCAAGCGCTTGAAGGCTAGCAATTCCCCCTATTCATTTGAAATATGGTTGNGCTTGCACAGCTATCAAGGCTCAAGCGCTTGAAGGCTAGCAATTCCCCCTATTCATTTGAAATATGGTTGTACCAGTAGGCATATTCTTCAGTCACCTCCTCCGGTTTTTCTATTAGATTAGCTGCTCCTCCTCTCACGCGACATTTTTGATAGTGTTAGTCTTCTTCGTTCCTTCTTTCTTCGTCTGGTTTCGTTTTCCGTCACCTCGCTTGGGTGCCCCCCAGCTAGCTCAATCCCGGTGCTTAACTGGTGCTTCTAAAAGTATTCCTGTTGGTCCACCACTAACGGCTTCAGAACAGAGCGGGCACTGGTACTGAGGTTGTTCAGCACTTCGGGCTTTGTCATTCCGTCCATGTATGGAGCCGATGGTCCTTCAGCAGCAGTGGCTTCGGCAGATCCACCCGCTGCGGGTCCTGGTCTTCGCTCTGTTCACCCTGGTGAAGCTACTGCTGCGCGTGGTCTGGATTGTTGCAGATCTGCTGGTCTTCTTCAGTTGAATGTAAGTGCTTGCTTGTGCCTTTGTGCCCTTTACCTTTGCATCAACTGGTCGAGAATGACTGTGAGGTTCACAGCCTTACGTTAGAGACTTTTCTGAAGAGAAACTACTTACCTTGTCAACGCGCGGGCAGTTCATGCGGCACTCCGTCAAGCGAATGATCTTTCTCTTGGCTGTTCCCAGCCAGCATACTGACGAGTTCCTCCTCAGCGTTTTGTTACTATTCTTCCAACAGCTTGTGGTGTTTAGTTTGAACACACAATGCTGCAGTGAAGCTCCAGACGGGCCGTAGCGGGTATGGGTGCCTTGACGCTGCCACCCGCAGACAGAGGGACGGTGCGAGGCAGTACTAGCGGAATTGCCACCTTCTGGAGCTCCAGAAGGTGGCAATTCCTCTAGTACTACCTCGTCATTTAATTCACCTGAGAAGTGTCTCGTGTGCTACAGGTCTGCGTATTGCTGTTGCTTATCGGGTCTTAACTGGATCGAATCCTTTAAAACTGNCTCGTGTGCTACAGGTCTGCGTATTGCTGTTGCTTATCGGGTCTTAACTGGATCGAATCCTTTAAAACTGTTGCATCCATGAACCTATCACGACAGAAGTTTTTCCCTGAGATCTCCGGAATTTCCTCTGCAGTACTTTGGAGCCTTGTCGCTCCATTCTTATTGGGGGACTCATTTGGTTCCTTTTACTGTAGCGGATGCAATGCTGGTGTGAGCACTGGAAGGTACGCTCATCTATTGCTTCCAGACGCATATGCCACAATAACCTCTCACGGATGCGACAAGTGCTCTCTCCACTGAGCCACCAGGCGTGCTAATGAACGTGTCGCGGTGAACTGGTCTGACTTAAATTCAGAAATGTGTCATATTACCATGATGCGGGACTTCTAACATACCCATGGTTATATTGGTCGCCATGCCCATCTGCCAGCACAGGCATAGTCGCAGAGCAGAAAGATGTAGGTTGCAGCTCGTCGCCGTAGCTTCAGATATAAGACCCGGTTCGCAGCCTGTCCGAAGCAGCGCTGGCCATTCCTGACCGTCAATGTGCACTTCGAACAACCGCGGCCTTACATAGGGCGAATCTGCAGGTGTGGATGTCACCCCCGTTGCCCCCGTAACAGCGCCGCACGTCGCTTGGGGGCCATCGCGTTTCCTGACGGCTTCGTTAGAAGCCCTGACGGCACCGCCTGATAACAATTTGTTAGCTCTTTTAACGTGTCTGAATTCTCGAGTTGTGCGACACTGCTATTCCAGACGAAGCAGATATGCCCCTCGGTACGTTTCCCCTACTTTCTGGATGCCGGCGTCGACGGCTGCTGTCACGATCGGCTCTTAACCGATTCTGTCGGAGCTGGCATTCACGGCCCCAATTCTCATAAGCTCTGTATCTGGGTTTCTTGTTTTTGCTCCTTTCTCATATGGCGCGGAAGAAGACAAAGCGGAGCTTTGTCTTCTATTTGCTGTGCAACCACATATAGGCTACCGACACTGCGCATGCTCCAATTCCACCTGCAGCCCAAACATTTCCTTTCTCACCGCTGGCGGATATGTCCTGATCAATCTCCATCATTCAAAAGGGAAGGATGCTGGATGCTTGACAAATAGTCTAGAAAGTATGAAAATACTTCCCATCTTTCATTTTTTCCCCGCAAGATGCCAACCATCACGATCAATAGGCGCTATCCACCNAAAATACTTCCCATCTTTCATTTTTTCCCCGCAAGATGCCAACCATCACGATCAATAGGCGCTATCCACCAGGTAGCACCATAGCGGGGGTGCAGATCGCTGGTCGTGGCTTCACATCTGAAGCAGAGTGCAGCGGCTGTCGTCGCTCTCAAAAGACGATACTGGCTAGCCGCAAAATGTCAAAACACTCAAGATGAAAGTTCCCCAAAGCAAAGCAGTGAAGTACACCTCCAGGTTCTAGTCGCCCTTAGCTCACTTTTTCCATCTCCACCCACCCGTGGTTTTGCCTTTTGAGCGCTTCCCGAGGCGGGCGCTTTCGGGGCGGGGGGAATATTGTAGTACGGGAAAGCTACAATGTCTTAGTTCTTCTAGCTCCGTTAGGGAGGCCAGGCCACTTATTAGAATGACCACTAAATATCGGGGTCGCTATCATACATATGCCAGTTAGCGGTAATCCGTTAGGGAGGATTCCGGCACACCATTCGCCAGCACGAGCGCGCACAACCCGGGAAGAGGGTGCAGACGGCAACCAGCCACAGCAGCAGGCTGGATCCGGGGGTCTACCCCCTGGGAATCCTGNGAAGAGGGTGCAGACGGCAACCAGCCACAGCAGCAGGCTGGATCCGGGGGTCTACCCCCTGGGAATCCTGAGCGAGGCCTTAAGCTGGACAGCCCTGTAGTCCCTCTAGAAGATTGTTTCTCAATAGTATAGGTGTCGTATATCGTAGTATATCGTCGCCTACCACTTCTAAAGACGGGTTCAGATTCTGTGTGGGTTGCCGTTGCATTCCATCCTTATAGTATATTAAGTGTGTCGCTCTACGACTCGTATCTAGACGCCTGTGCATCTAAGGGTGTACTTCTTACTTCCCCTCATCCATCCATGTTCCATCAGCCTTTGCCGCTTCTATGCCTACCAGTCGCAATCTATATTTTCGGATGCAACAACGAAAAATGTGTTCAGTGGGTTTCCAGAACTTCCAGAGCACTCTGGCTTGTCCTTCTGAACTCCAGAGCAGAATACCTTTGCATACAGGCGCTAGGGCCTGGCGTAGCATGGTCTGACTGACGTTGGTTCATGCGCTTCTACTTGCGGGCAAACTGGCAAGTGAGGGCCAAGCAAGCGCTTACGATTTGCATACAGTGTTAGTGAATACAGAAAATAGGGTTGTTTTGCGTTTGCCCTGCAACGTTAGCTGCAGGTAGTGCTGCACGGCAATCTCCCATGGAGGTGTGTTGCACCATCTCAGGCCTCCCCCANCGTTAGCTGCAGGTAGTGCTGCACGGCAATCTCCCATGGAGGTGTGTTGCACCATCTCAGGCCTCCCCCATTGCTCTAGCCAAGGAATATTGGGCTACAGATTTCAAGCCGCCTGGGGACTCGAAGGGAGGTCAGCTATAGGTCAGCTATGTTATTCGAAATCTTGTACTAAGTATTATGACGATATTGCACGATCATCCTCGAATGAGATCCAGGACTCTCGTTATACTTGGGGCTAATGGGAAAAGGAGGTACCCTCTCAGGAGCTGCAGCGCCGTACTGCAAGCTACAGGGCAACTCCACATGAAGGCATAACCAATGCCCATTAGTTGGACGCCACAACACGGCAGACAACTGTTGAATTGCTGCACGCAAATAGTCTGGCAGTTACCACCTTCAGACACACAGTGTTCCGTTTCAAGCCTCCGGCATGGCTTTCAACTGGCTGTTCGACCGTCTCCTCCTCCCTGTAGATTGAAGAAAAGCTACAGCTGCGGAGCCCCTTGAGCTGAACTGACGTAGACCCTCTCAACTCGCCGACTCGTGTACCGCGGAACCTCTATAAGGATGTCGTTATCTATATGCACTGCACTTCACTAAGTAGTGTTCAGCCTTAGCCACCTACACAGGGCTCCTCATAGTGTACGTAGTGTACGACGTAAGTGCGTTGGGTAGCAAGGGGCTGGGGTCTGCATGCATGCAGGGCTACCCGGTTTTGGANGGCCATGACGACTCCGCGAGAGCTTCAGCCGAGGAGGGAAGCATCCATGAGTCTGAACTAAAATACTATAGCAAGCATATATGTGCGCTTGTGGGAACTTCCCTACACATTACGAAAGAACCTGCAGGTGCTGGTTCTCTCCAGGGATGAGATGGCCTAGATAGGCCTTAGCCCGTTGCCTGTGGCGTAAGGGTAGTCTACTCGTGCAGTATAGTTGTTTGCTGGCAGCGCAGCCTTAGCTGCCGCTGGATGTAGTCTCTACAGGTACACAGACTGCCACGCCCTGAGGCGGAGACTCGGACAGGTGAAGCGACGTGTCCGTCCGGGGGCAACGGCCCCAATGCTTGGGCTGGACTATCTATGGTTCCGGTCTCCTCATTAGCAGAGTTGAGGGGTATTCCATATGAAGACGCACCGCGTGCGTCCATGACAGCTTGCTAGCGAAATCGTGGATATAGCACCAATACACATGTACTGATTGGAGAAAAAAACCATCGGATGACGCTAGCAGGTGCCTCCAAGAGCGGCCCCTGTGCTGGGCATGCGCTCAGAGCTGCTGCTGCTGCTGCAACAGTTTGGGGGAGAGCTGAGGAGACGCTTCTGACCGTTCGCCGGGGTCACCTCGTCCTCCGGTTGGGGGTCCTGGGACGAAGCCGCTCGGTGTCAGTCGTGGAACCAACAGCTCTGTCCCCATCCTGGGGCGACATCATCCCTGATGCCCCTTCCGAGGAGGGACTGTGGCTTGAAGAGACGCTTTCAAAGCCCAACACCGCCAGAACCTGCAACAGCAACAGTGAACACCCACCGTATAGTCGGCGAATGGTCCTTTGCAGCATGCTCTGCACCGCCCCAGCCAATGCGCTTCTAGGAACTACCAGCAGCAGCAGCAACAGCGGAAGCAGTGGCAGCCGGCCAGCAGGGTCAACAGCAGCGGCGCGTCGCCCCCCAGCTCTATGGATCAGAGCAACAGCCTGAAGCCCCTGAAACATATGTGCAAGGGGATCCTGGGGCCCCGCGTGGATACACTTAAATGTCATCTCACTGCAAAGAAAGTCAGCACAGCTGTGACTCCTAGAGCGTTGGCAAGGATATTTGCNTTAAATGTCATCTCACTGCAAAGAAAGTCAGCACAGCTGTGACTCCTAGAGCGTTGGCAAGGATATTTGCGGTCCCGAAAAGCGGTGCCTTAGGGCTGTTGTTACGCAAGAAGGACTGCTTCTGCATCAGCCCCGAGGAGATCGCCGCCAGGGCCCCCGAGTAGCTGCAAAAGAACGACCCGAACGAGGAAGGGATAGGCATACCAACAGCAGCCCAAGAAGACAATCATACAAACGGAGGGACGAAATAAGCGCTTCTCAACGCACGCTGACAAGCTCCCACCAACATACTGATACAAAGGAACACAGACGAACGGTGCTTAACGCACGCAGACCCGGTACATTCACCACAACAGAAGAAGAAATATGCACCCTGCCCTGTCCGTAGACAATAAACAGAGACAGCAACAGGCAATGGATGCCGCAACAACCTCTCAGCAGATCCCCAGGCAGTCAAAATGTCCCCAATGGCCTTGCAAGGTAACAGAGGTCCCTCAAGTCAGATAGCCCGTACACGCGTCCCCAAGGCTTTCTAAGTTCCGCGGAGTGCCCAAAGGGCATCCAATGAGTCTCACAGTTCTACCAACAGGACCTCGGGAGATGCAATTCAGTGCCACAATATATGCCCCGAAAGAGCTGGGTGGCACGGCTGAGAGCTGCCTCACATCGCAAGGCCCCCTATTTTGTGGTAGCGGAGATATGCGACCTTCACAGACCTTGGAGCGATCCCCGGAAGCCAGAATATGAGGAGACCTGAGCCACAAAGAGGCGACCTCACGCGCGTCTGGCTATGCGGCTGATTAGCGAAACCCGAATGGCTCAGGAGATGAGCTGGGAAGTGCGAGACAGCTCGGTCCCACGGCCCATGGAACAGTTCAGGCCCTCACTGTGCGAAGGGCAGAGTGGCCTCAAGGGATTGCGCTCACCGCACAGAAATTGGCACCATGACAGGACGTACACCGTCATCCCAATCCAACTATGAACGCTGCAACCGCACATACCCAAGCAGCATACGAAGCCAGTAAAAGGTTGGATCCGGCTCCGATGGATTCACCACACACCACACAACACTGGCGCCAGCACATGGCAGGGGCCCTGCAGCTTCCTGGGCTCCACAACCCGGTTGCTACGGGAGAAAGGCTTGTTTGGCATCGTGGAGCTACAAGGGACGCTTCCACTAAGCGCCAAACATCCTACGAGCCCTCGAGATGCAAAATGCCTTCTNTGGAGCTACAAGGGACGCTTCCACTAAGCGCCAAACATCCTACGAGCCCTCGAGATGCAAAATGCCTTCTAATGAGTTGCCAAGCACTTGAAGAGGTGCAAGGCTCCCCACTGGCATAGGGGGCCAGGCAGGAATAGATGCCAGACCTGTAGAAGTTTGGGAATTTATTAGAGTTGTGAAAGAGGACAACAACTGTGAAGGCAGCGACGCCAAGGAGGAACGAGGCCAACTGCAGACAGGCGTGCACTGTCTTGGCCGCTGCATGGCGTAGACCGAGAGCCTTGAAGCTTATCAGCTGACGGCCCGATGAGACAGAAGACACACAGAAAATATCTCAGCAAATGCCTGAACCCCATCCCTGCTGCGCAGAGTAAACTCTGCACGAGAAGCTCTGATGCGATAAGGCCTAAGCCCTACAGCTGAGCAGCTCAGAGCGTCAGTGGAGACACCTAGAGCAAGGAAAGTAGGGGTCTGGCAACGCCTGTTAGCGAGACACCTTGGAATCACGGTCAGTGGTGCCTAGTTTAGCATTCATAGGGACGTATGAGAAGGCCCACCGATTCTGTTGCTGCCACCCCGAAGGCCAAGATGTTTAGAAGCGGATGGAGGTTAAAGAACTGAACTGCCACAAACAACAGCACACATCGCATAGGAAACCATCTGGCAGCACGTCTAGATGCCTCAACCGACAGTGCTAGTCTTGCATCTCATGTTTGTTTCCAGGCGTATAATGAGAGAATGTTTTAGGAGANTCAACCGACAGTGCTAGTCTTGCATCTCATGTTTGTTTCCAGGCGTATAATGAGAGAATGTTTTAGGAGAGATAACTTTGCTATCTTTGCGCCTGTCACCGCTTTAGCGGGTGGCTGCCTGTCGGCTGCGGGTTTGTGTCACTACGCCTATGATGTTTCCCATTCAATAACCAAACATATGCGAGCGACAAGCATACATCTATCTCTGTTCTGCACATCACCGACGCTTTAGACAATGGCCATGTACCATGCACACTCTGCAGCAAGGCATTAAATCCATTTGTCTCCGTTTTTCTCTGGCTGCACGACGGAACGTGAGGCCCCCGCTGGGCCTCAGTTCACGGATACGGTCTACCCCGTGCTGAACTGCAGTCTTTGCGTGTTCAAAATCCCACCGGAAGCAATGTTACTTAGAGAGAAGCCGCCTCCCCATTCAGACTGCAGGCACAGAGATAGCTGAAGCCCAGCAAGCAGCACCACGAAGACCTGCGTCAGCCAGAAGAATCGCCTGCTTTCCCGTGCTGTAACTTCGGTATCCATCTGCACTAAAAATTTACGAGATCCAGTGTGTTGCTNCGCCTGCTTTCCCGTGCTGTAACTTCGGTATCCATCTGCACTAAAAATTTACGAGATCCAGTGTGTTGCTTTTCGCCTGCAGTAGCCGTGCTCCACTGCCTTGAAAGCCGGCAAACGACTCAGCGCATTCTCGATCAGCGCTGCGGCCTCTGCTGGTACTGCAGCTGCTCGTTGCTCCTGCTGATCCGCTGTGAGCATTTAGCTCAATCAACGGTAAGCACGTATCCAGGAAGCCTACCCAACAGAGAACCGTACTGCGGGACGTGAAGGCCGAAAAATAAACCTGAAGGCACAGCTACACGTAGCCCCGTGCTGTCCAGTGCATATTCAAGCAGCTGCACACGCACAATGGAACCCGTAAGAGTGTGTATAAGAACGCTGATTCATATTAACTACTATGCATGCATGCAACAGGTGCTGACTACGTAGATGAGCGTTCCGATGGACTTACGTGTGTGGATATGGAAGCCGCGGAGCCGAAGCTCCCTAAGCTTCGAACAAACTGAATTGTAACAGCTAAATACTGTCAAGAAGGAAAAAAACAATACGGGGGGTCGCGGGCGTTGAGTCACCCGAAGAGAAATGCTCGATGGCGAGACAACAACGAACGGATGCATGTGGGGGCATTATCCACTGCAGAATTCCCTAGTATGAAGATGTTAAGAGTATCATAATACATTTTTTGTTCATTTTTTATAATATACAACCTGCAACTAAGCTAAACAAGCCCACAGGATACCCCGCTCGGCCATGGCTGCTCGCCCTTACACCGCTAGCCCTAAATTACTAGCGCGAGAACACTGTAGGCTAACAAGAAGTGTCTAATTAATCTCTCTGGGAATTCGATAGCCGTTTTTTTCACACGGAGGGCTTCAAGTATTTGGATGGCCATGCGTCTTCTACGGTCCAACATTCAAAACTCTTGAGCAGGACTGTGGGGGGGCAAAATTTCCCCTCCCAGCATTGGAAAAGCCCTGAAATGACTACTTTCAGCACTTCTGCTGTCGTATCTAGACTATTTATCTGTCTTCCATCGCGTTGAAGCCTCCACTTTTCGCCAGATCCNCCTAACCTTCCCTCTGAAGCGAAAATGCAAGAAATTGTGCGCGAACGGAGGCGCGTGTAGCCACGTATTGCCTGAAATACGCCATGCCGGCCCGGACGACACTTGCGATATTCTCGTAACCGAGGACTGCTCCATGTTGCCGACAGGGTTCAGGGGCCATTTGGGTTCTTTTTCTTGCCGATACTCAGGTTCCAGGCATGCTTCGAACGCCGTTTGGCTTGACCTTCGCTCCAGCCCTACCTGCGGCAACCTAGCATCAGCGCCTCGTTGTTCCGCCCCAACCCAGATTATATTGCATGTGTTTACAAGTAGTGTGTGGATGGGCCCTATAAGCGTGGCAGTCAGCGCATACAACCAACGGACCGGCTTCCGCCCCTTCAGCAGGTGCATTTGCAGCCCGCTGCGTTCCTTTCACTCACATCTCCCAGCAGGGGTCAAGCAGAGGCCGACAAAAGGCAAACACAGGGAGGCGCCAGTTGGCTCCAACTTGGTCTACATGGCCAAGGCAAGTAGTTTCATTTGCAGGGCAAAGTTGTTTTCAAGGGCAATGCCANCAACTTGGTCTACATGGCCAAGGCAAGTAGTTTCATTTGCAGGGCAAAGTTGTTTTCAAGGGCAATGCCATACGTAACTGATGCTATTTGTCATGCAACACCGATTCTGTCATCCGTGTCTGTCTCCATGGAAATCAGTGCACCTAAAGCATGAATAGCCCCTTGGCTGCATGGGTTTTCAGTGTTATCGCTGTATAGGCGAGTGAAGAGGCGGCTGGCGCTTTCCTGTGGCTTGGGTGCCCACTAGCATCTCCACTGCGGCTGTGCTTGCTTCTGCGCCTCAGTGGGACGTGTACAAACGGCAGCAAGAGAAGACTGTTTGGCGTGATTCTTCTGGGGCTTCGGGCACTCTTCAGGCAAAGGCACTACCACGAGCAGGCTCTGAGGGCCCCTCACGAGCCCTTGCTCTCCCTGAGCATTGCAGCGCCAGGGGCCAGGGAAGTAGGAGACAAAATGAGACGGGGGAACAGGACCATGTGCTGCTACTCCGCCGCGTTTGGGAGCAGCAGGGACGGCTTTCACCGTTCCAGGCGGCGGACTTGGCCTATTTCATAGCCCGTGGAAAGAACCCTCCAGAACAGCTGCTGCAGCAGCTCGTTTTTTACGTGCTCCACAGCCAACCAGAAAGACGCCTCTCCGTCCTCAGGATACACAGGAAAGTTATCAGCTCTTGTTTCAGTTTTCGTTTTTCTGTTGTGGCTTCTAGTGTGCTGCTATCTCTATCGCGTACCAGCCGGNCTCTTGTTTCAGTTTTCGTTTTTCTGTTGTGGCTTCTAGTGTGCTGCTATCTCTATCGCGTACCAGCCGGTGTTTGTCTCTTTTTTTGTTGGCGGTTGTTTATCTCTGTCCTTTGAACCGTTGTGCTTGTTGTCCTCCGTTTCTGTGCCCGTATGCTGCTGCTTGTCCCCATATCGGTCTTCAGGTTGACGCTAGTGCTTCTCGCTGGAGGAGTGGGACGGGATGTTTTGTGTCTGCTCCCAGGGAGGGTTTGCGCTCCGCTGTTTTGGCCCTGTTTAAGCGCCCTTTACCGAGAGCAGTGGGATGGGGGTTGCTGTGTTTGTGATTGTATAGACTGCTGAGAGTATTTCAACTAGTTCCGGGTGTGGCCGAGAGGGACGTACTAGGCCCCCTGTGTGGAGCCCTGCAGCGCCGGGTGTCTTTGCTGAAGCCAGCAGACTTGCAGCTGCTGCTCTCCGACTTTTCGGCTGTCTATACACCGGAGTTCCTGCCCTTCTTCTCTGCTGCAGCGCGGGTCTTGAAACAATGCTCTCGAGAGGCGCTCGATCAGCCCGCTCTTGCGGAGAAGTGGGCAGTTCAGCGAGCGCATGGTGCTTTAGAAGCAACCACCAGCGGNATCAGCCCGCTCTTGCGGAGAAGTGGGCAGTTCAGCGAGCGCATGGTGCTTTAGAAGCAACCACCAGCGGAAGCAATAGTGGCAGCAGCAGCATCCAGAGGACAAATGAATTGGAGAACAGGAAAGAGCCACTGTCCCCCGTTCAGGCATGTTTCCTTCTTCATGCCCTGGGTGAGCGTCGGGCCCTGTTTTTCCTTGCATTGAGGATGCCTATAGAGGAGCTGCACCATTTGCATCAGCCTCCTTGTAGACTCAGTCGGTTTTACTAGAGCTGATGGGTAGTGCGTTTCTAAATAAGTAGGGCCACGCTGCAGGGGGTTTCATCTCTGCTCCTAATAGCATACATCCGATTTCATTCTTCACCGCTCTTGTGCCTGCCGTGTGCAGCTTTTCTGGCCACTGTTGTGAGCTGTTTGCTGCATTCGCTGTTGTTTCTGCCGTTTCTGTTTGGCTTTTTCAGGGCGGACAGACTTTCAAGACTCGTCCCTTTTCTCCTTGCTTATAGAAACCGTTGATGGCGCCGTTCGCCAGCTGCTGCTGTACGGGCAGCAACAGAGACGGGATAATAGACTCGAGGCAAGCCAAGGGAGCTCTCAGAAGGAGTTATTGCCGGATATCGAAAACTCTGAAGCTCACCCAAGGGACGCAGCAGCGTTGCCTCTGTTGGGGGGGTTGGGGCCGGAGGCGGCAGAACTGACGGGGGAGGCGCTGGTGATGTGCGCTAAAGGTTTGGCGAACCTTAACTACAAACCAANGCGGCAGAACTGACGGGGGAGGCGCTGGTGATGTGCGCTAAAGGTTTGGCGAACCTTAACTACAAACCAACAAGAGCCCAACTAAATCGCCTCGTAGAGGTGCTGGTTCCTTATCTGCTCAATGAGGAGGTGCGGTTTGCTGGGTTATCTGCCTCTCGATCACATGCCACGCGCTGAGCTAAATTGTCCTCAGACCTCACTCTCAAAGTACAATTCGGACATCTATCTCATCAACTCCTGTTGAACCTCTAGGGGGCTGTCGCTGTTGGCCTGCTTCAGGTTTACTCTGAAATCCACTTGAGAAAGAACGTCGTTTTGTCTACGTGGTGCTACATACGAGTGGAGTTTCACATGCCATGAATTGTGTACACAAATTTGCCCGAGGGGTGGCCTATCTTCTCATTTACAAATGCATATTTATTGACTTTAAACGATATATATTAGGTGGTGGAATATAGGGTTCTGGCATACCTTTTCTCTAGCATGCGGGTTCCGTATGCGGGGTTGTTTCTGTCTCCTCTTGCTCCTGTCGCCCTTTGCGCTGCAGCCTTCAGTCCTAGGCCACGCGCCTTCGGCGCGTCGGCTGCCCCTTCTCTTTGGGGCTGTCTCCGGTTTGACGCGTCTTGGGGCAGGGCCTGCGGGCCTCTGCAGGCTGATAGAGGAGGCCTGTTCCCAGCCCATGAAGCTCATAGGCCCCTACGAACCCTGCGACCTCCTCGCTGCGGCTGCAGCTCTAGAGCCGGTGGCCGCGGTTCCCTCTCATATCGCCGCAGTTGCCGTACGGACCCTTGAGGCCGACTTGTTGCAGGGAATGTCTCCAGCTTCAGCAGCTCAAAAGCTTCAAGAACTTGCGGTAGCAGCACCTGAAACATCAGCAGCAGTTCCAACCGCCGCCACTGCTGGGGTGGCACGCTCTGACGCTGTAGGTACTGACGCTGTCGGTGCGAAGCGAGATGCAATAGGGGATTTCAGGGCTGGCACTGTTGGGGAAAACGACACCTGGACATATGTTGAAGATCTGCGTCGCAGGTCGGGCTCGCCGTTTAGATCGGCTGCCCACTGTTACCTCCTTGCGGCTGCCGTTGGCCTTGCTGGAATCCGTCAATTTCTGTTTGCTCTGCATCCGGCTTTTCGTATCTCTACATTGAGCGTTTTGGCTTCCCTGGAGGCCCTTGTACCCCCAGCTCACAGAACACCAAGCAAAATGCCACTTGGAACGGCAGCTTCTGTTCAGCCTGAGCAGCAGCAGCACCAACAGGAGCAACCGCAGCAATGGCAGCAGCAGCAGCCGGGGCCGCCAGCAAGCTGCAGTTTTGTTCAGCCTTCTGCTTCGGGTGACATAAGCACAAGCGGCGCTGCAGTGGGAGCGCCGCGACAGCAGACAGTAGACTGCAGCGTGAAGCAGGGTCAACACGAACGTGCAAATTTAGGAATTATCCCGTCGAAGTCTGAACGGACTGGGAGGCCTCCGCTGCACCCCGTCCTGCGGCGTTTAATCTTGTCGGTGTTCTACCGTTTGCCGTGCATATCACTGCGGCTGCTGGTCGAGTTGATGGAGGCGCTAAGGACTTGCGGATTTCCACAGAGGGAACAGACCGAGGGGCTGTCCCCTCACGGCAAGAGCTGCAGATGGCGCAGGTCAGTCAGCAGGCTATTCCCAGTTAGTTCGAAAGAAGACTGTCCCCATAGCTGCTAGGCGCGAAATAAAAGGGCTGTAGTTGTTGCCTTGTGGTCTATCATAGAGGAATTTGTATAAAGAGCCACGATATAGCGTATACGCAGATTCCTTGCGGTATACGCACGTCATGTGCACATCAGCCTAGGCCCCGGGGCATGTGAACCAAACGGAAAAGGGTGGGGCGCGCCAGATGATTAATACAGGAAATTTAACACTTTAGAAATGGACGAGGGACCCTGGAAAGAGGCACAGTGTGTTTCTGGCTCTCATCCGGGATGGAATGACGGACAGCTGCACGGAGATGCACACCACGGCAGGGAATAGCATATACATATAGGGACCCGTGTAGCAGTGAATTCCATATAAGGGGTGGGACGTACGTATAGAGGTGCACTTGCGTGTTTCAGCTGAATGGTTGCACGTATCTATGAATATCTGAATGAATACACGGTCATCTACCTGCGCAGGAAAAAATGGGCTTTTTTGTACAAAGTAGGTGCACGACAGTTACGTTGTTCTGTATCCTGAATCGTGTTTGGAATCCACACACAGGGTTATTGTGTGGTGTGCCTTTGTAGTTAGTGGTAGTTCGCGCATCGATCGTCCTGCAGTGTGGCTTTCTCCTTATCTTACTGTGCAGTGTATGCACATTAGGTGTTTTTTCGTATGTGCGCATGAGTGATTATTCAAAAGGTAATCATGTTTATGTATGCGCAGCTACTCGTGTTCATGATGCCACGTACGTGTGAAAGCCGCTTATGTGTGCGGAGTGCTCTGTTTGCGCTTCTCTAAACTGCGAGCACAACGGGTTGTTCCATTTAGAAGGACCAGGAAGTGTAGTCGGTGTACACCTTATGTTGAGTTGGTTCGTCGCATACGAAGTGTAAACACGAGCGACGGCATACCTGCATCTACACACGTACATTCATGTCTGCATATGATTGCTATACCAGAAGCAGCAGACGTCGCGGTACGCCTGAACACCGATTGAACAAAACTTTTGTTCCATTGGACACTGGAGTTCTGGCGCGTGCAGCGTCGTCCTCGGAGCCGTTTTCTAATCGTTTCTTTTAATTCGTATGGAGGATATTTTTGACACAGGCCCCTTATGCAGGCGTTGGCAAGGGAAGCTATCCGCAAGATGCATCAGGCGACCCCCAACACGCTCGTTACGTTTTTGGCGCTTTTTTATCTCGAGTTAGACGGCTTTGATGTTTCTCTAGATCCTCTAATCTACGGCATGCAGCGGTGAGGCCGACGTTCTTACACGCACTACTTGAAACAAAAAACAGCAAGCGCGCATTTGTGTAATAAACAGCAGTGGAGGATGGTGTTTTCAGTCCCCTGTTTTCCAATGAAATGCTGCCCAGACTCTGTTACTCTGTTGTCGGGCAAACATCTACTTTGCGTGGTGGGTCCACGTTTTACACACGAAGGCTTCGGTTGCTCTGGTGGAGAGCGCTGCGCCTGTGGCCCCAGCTGTTTGCAGATTGAAGCCAACACAATTCATTTATCTTTCCATCAACGGAAGTTCTTTGGAAATCTGTCCCCCCGTGTAGCTCCTTTTGTTCTGTTTCCTCTGCCGTCTTCATTTATCTGGTCCACCATTTCTTTTGTTTCTGTCTTTTTTCTCTCTTCTGGCTGCGTCTCGCGAAGGTTCGCTTCGTTGGCTGACCAAGGGGCTCTGACCGAAACGGTGGCCTTGCGATTGTTGTTGATGGAGGCGATGGTAGGAAAGACACGAATTTCGTTCTCTCTTGGCCAGACACTTCGCTTTTCCCTTCTCCTCTTTCCTTTGTATTTTTTCCCCTACCTGGTGGCTCATGTCCTGCATTCTGTGCACCGGTGCACTTGAGTCTCTTCGTCGCATTTGTTTCGATTGGTATACGTGCTTGTTTTCCCTGCTACCTGTGAGTCTCCGCGGCCGTCCGTCGTGCTGTTTCTCAGTGCTTGTTTACATATAGGCGGCCATACCTGCATCCATAATTTCTGCGTGTGTGTAGAGGAAACCAGAGGTCGCCAAAGCCTTCAGCAGCTTCTTTCCCATAGCGTCGCAACTTGCGGAGGCACTCTTGAGGCGTCGGCTGGATTCTGATCCAAGACAGACTGACGGATATAGTGAGGGTGTAGTTCGGGTTCTAGGTTCCCCTGGTTTGTGCAGGAGTGCCACTTCAGATTGTGGGGCCCCATACAATGTAGCCAAGTAACGCGGACGCCATCGACGGGGAACAGCACGAAGCTCATGCTCTTTTTGTATCCTTCTAAAATAGAATTGAAGGCTGCGGTTGCACTGGCTGTATTCGACGCATGAGAAAACCTGCTGTGTTGGTTATGGCCAAAGGGACCCCTGGTAACACTCGCTCTTTTAGTTTATGCTGTGTGGGGGAGTTTAGGGCTCAATTGTTGCCTGCAACCACGCGCACCTTCGTATTTACCGAGTATGCGTGTGTTCGTGCTTGTTTTTAGTATGCATTAAGTATGCAATTGAGGCTGTTCCAAATTGATATCAACTGTCCTAACCACAGATGAGCAAATCTTATCGAGGCTCGATGCTGGTCTTCTTATGTGACTTTGGGACGAGAGGGACGGGCTAGACCTTTTCCGCCGCTGCCAGAGCGGTGCGTGCTACGGCACCCGTGCGTGCTACGGCACCGGTGCGTGCTACCGCAGCAGGTTTTACACAGCCAACGTGGAGACCCTGTTGATTGGGCCTTGATCTAACAGTCTCAGACCTGCTCACAGAGCCCACGACAGAGGCTGAGCTGGTCAAAACCATTACAAATATCCATGTTTGGCTCTAATGGGGCCAAACATGACAGGAGCTACGTCGCCGCAAGTGGCGTTATATAAGCACATTAGAGGATAAGCTGAATACGTGTTAATATGGTGGCAATAAAACTTCTAGAAGACGGAAACGGGATACTACAGGCACCCAACGGACAGCATAATACGAGACAGGGGACAGCGTCCGTCCCAGCTCACGGCGGGAGCACCAGCTGGAGCTGACTCAGTCGCTCCTTACCGTCGCCCTTTGCCCTTTAGCTGCAAATTTCTCCCCTCTTTGTGTTTTGGAGGCCTTCAACGAATGCGCAGGACAGGATATCACATCCACCGTCGATCCACGAGGAAACCCCCAACTGCATGGGCGTCGCAACCAGCAGATGGACAACCTGGGGAGGGAAGCGCCAAGGGAGGCAAGAAGAGCTTGGGTTCTCCCGACCGGCAACAGGGGTGATGTTCAGGTTTAGTGTCTCGTGGTGCTGACAGACTTGCTGTGACGTGACAATGAAATGTGAAAGCAATCTCCAACCGCCGCAGAGGCGATGCTCGTCGCACAGACAAGTCACCGGCTGGTTGCAAGCAAATACAAATGCTCCATCGGATATGGTATAATATAAAGTATCCGGTGAAGGAAGCTGCGTTCAAGCATCCTTGTGCTCGGCCAGCATAGCCAGCTGCAGCGCGGTACACCGAAACTCCTGCTGTGGTGCCTCCTCCGCCGCAACTCCAGGCCATGAGCTGAACGCCCCCGATACCTGGAGACAGGGGAAGGAGGCCAATTGCTTTGGTGAAAATCTTACCGCAATTTTTCGGCTTAACTGCAGCACGCATTATTCCTTAAACGACTGCTCAAAACATGCATTACAGTTGATAGAACCGCATGGTTGGACGGGGCAGACGCGAACAACCAACCTCACCCATCCAACCAAGATCTTTCTAGCTGCTACAGCTCTGATATACACGACTTGAGCTGGGGTTTTCCCGGCTGTTGGTGCAGGACTTCGAAATGCAAAAATAGTTCTTTGACAAGCCGGACTCACGCGTGCAGAAAAGGAAGCGTCGCTGAGGCTTCTTTTACTGCATGCTTTACCTCTGAATACACTTATAGAAAGTTTGTATTTGCTTACACGCAACCTACCAAGGCCAAGTGCTAACTGCAGGCAGACCATGCTACAGTTACGATGGGATGCAAGATATTAGTTGGAGAGTAGATTCATCCATTAGCTAATATGGTACAACTGACACATTGTAGTGCGCCCACACTACACTATTCCCCCCCACTGTAAAAACATGTGCCGCAGGCACACGAGGAAGGGAAGGGAAAACGGGGTGCGGAACGGGCGGAAAAATATATGCAGGCAGGACGCCGGTGAACGAGGCATCCTAGTAGTGGAGGAGGGACACAGCCTGGCTGCCGTTGAGTGGAGCCGCTGCCAAACGCGGATGAGCTGGACAGCCACGAATATGAAGATACTCTGCTGTTTCCGCACGGTCCTTGTGAGAAAATCCGCTTCAGAAGGGTCAGTCTAAGGTGAGTTTGTGGCCCTACGGATCATATGGCCCACGGAACGTGACCCCACTCACGTCAGTAGGTGCACCAGTCACCGCCAGGAGCTCTACGTCTTGTGCCTCCAACGACAACACAAACACAGAAACACACCTGTGAGGCGTAGTCTGGATACAAGTTCCCTCACACGTTAGGGAGATGCGAATCCATAACACTAGAGGTACTGCCAGCCAAGTAAGCTGATGAAGTATAGGGAGAGCCCTCAGTCCCTCACATGCTATGTTGATATTTCTTCAAAATAACGTAGAGTNTGATGAAGTATAGGGAGAGCCCTCAGTCCCTCACATGCTATGTTGATATTTCTTCAAAATAACGTAGAGTTTTTCCCTTTAGTATAAATATTTGCAGTTACCCTTACGTATCATTAGGTTGTATCTCCGAAGGACTAATCTGGGGCGCATCCATAGAACCCCACAGCTGAGTATAGCGAGCTGGCAGGCATGAGCTATAGTCATTCCAATTGTCACGTCATAAAGCATCTTTAATGCATTCACAAATGCTATAATCAATGAATATCAATAAGCAGTCACAGACACTCCCACCGTTCATACAACCCACACTCATTTCACAGCGAGCACAGCATTGTTGCCGTGATTGTAGTGAGTATTCACTACAGTCCTCAGGAACTCCATGCCATTTGATGAGATACTGCAGCTCTGTGCCTTCACCACGTTGGTCCAAGATATAGTTCACATCGTACTTATCGGTTAGATTTCTGTGTACATCGCGTACTTGTGGCCAGTCAACCGTTGCATCTCGAGACTTCATAGTGCGATCCCTGGGTCTGTCAGGAATAAGCTGCGAGACGTAGAAAGCATCGTGGCATCCATATATTGGGGGAAGGGTCAAGCGATAAGCCAATTTACAAATCCGCTCCTTTACGATAAACGGGTTCCGCGGGGGGACCGCGGAAACGTGGTCTGAACTTTGGGCACAAGTTTGGGGGCGGCAGATTGTGACTCCAGAGCCACACTTTGTCGCCAGGCTGGAACACGACGTTGCCTCGGTGCGCAACCTCATAGAATTTCTGATCCCGTTTAGATTTGAGGATATGAGCTTGAGACCGATAGCAAAGATGCCGGATATATTTGGTCATGGAAGGGGTTGTGGTGGTAGCTAGGCCAGCAACGAAATCTAGCTCCGCTGCTGTATCCGGACTTTCACCTATCATGACTACGAACGTGCCAAATTCAGTTGAATAGTGGCTAGTCGTATTATAAGCTAATTCTAACCGACAAAGATCTCTCCCACTTGGTCTCATCCGACTGTCTATATGTCCGAATCATCTGTTCCAGCGTGAGATTCACACGCTCCGTCTGTCCATCCGTCTGCGAGTGAAGCTGCGGAGATGGCACGCTGCATGTTACATTGAGAACAAAGCTTCTCCCAGAGACCGGACTGGAAGTGTGGGTGTATATGTGTGATCAGGGCATCTTGAAAACTGTTGTAACTTGTACGGCGAGCAGCCAACAACTCAATCGTTTGATTAGTGGAAACTTTCGTGGGCGTTGAGATAAAGTGAGCAATTTTTCTCAGAGATTCCAATATAATCCAAACCGCATCGTGACCCTGTGACGTACGAGGCAAGCCTGCGGTGAAATCCATGGAGGCCTGGCTTCAGCGTGCGGAGATTCAAGTCTGGAAAATTCAATTATATACGCTCTCATGTAGCACGGTCCGCCTCAATTTCGTATCCTTAGTACCAGAGTGGAAAATAGTTGCTGCTCGGACGCTTTGGAAATTTAGAGTTGGTTCCCATTCCAAATTCTCCAAGCGAACACAGAGCTGAACCTCGGGGGCAATAATGTCGGCCAGAGATGAATTACAGAGCACCTCGCTGCAAATCGTGCTGCGAAGCGAGCATATGGAAGCATTGCCAAACTACCTTTGCTGCATGCATTCAT